GAAGACGCACTTCTGAGAAGCGACGAAACTCTTTCGTGTGTTTAAGGAAAGTGATTTACAATTTTAATTTGGAGAAGTCATTTTCCATGTAGCTGAAGTAGAGTTTTTTGTTAAGCGATGTCATTTTCGTAAACTAACTTATTTGCCCCAAACAAATAAAGGAATATGATGAAAACATTATTTTGTAAATCATTATTTTCGAAACAAACGCAGTCTATTCTATTAGGAAATGGAGGGCCACCTCTCTAAAACCAACATCAGGAAGTGAAGTCATTTTTTTTCCTAATCGTTGTCCATGAGCTTGGGGCCAGTGCTAATATGTTTTTAAGAATCATTCTATGTGGACATCTTTATTTCTAAGATGCCGACAAGGTTGGCATGTGTCGGTCCTAATTTTGATAGATTAATTATAACGCAAGCTGATTTTCGTGTCCATTCTTCGCCAGATAGATTAACTACATTTTAAGAATCATTCCATGCGAACATCTTTATTTCTGAGATGCCCGACAGTGTTGCCACGTGCCTACCACCACGATTAAATTACTGAACAGGAAAATTATATCGAAAGCATCCGTGAAATTGCTTATGATCCTTATATAATGCATTAGATGCTGAAACACACAAATGGCATAGTCCCCACGTGGCTCTCGTGTGGCCTATTTGGTGATCTCGGGGCTTCTAATTAGTCTCCTCGTATCAACTTGTTGATATGTGAAAACTTGTAGATAGAAAAAGTGTGGATTTCGTACTATATGCACCAAACAAGTGGCTCGTTTTCGACCAAAAAAAAAATAAATGGCTCGCAATCGACCATTTTAACATGTAGAAAGCTCCATTAATACAAATAACCATCAATATTGTTGACACATTAAATTTGGCGATTTAGTCATTGATTGCATAGAAAATTAGGGATCGACCCTGACCCCTACAGGTATTATTGTTAAAATAGTATCTGCATAGTAGGAACATTTATGTTAAACCCACATATAATTGCATTTGAATTAACGGACTAAAGCAATGGGGAGTTCTAAGCTTATTTGAATGGGACTAAACCAGTGTAAATCCGGCCAAACCCGTGGCCGAATATTACATTGTGCTTTGCACATGATGGCCGAATTTCACATGTAATTGATTTCTTGATTAAACTTGAGAAGCAATTAGGCTATTACAGTGTCAACATTTTGGTCACGTGGCAGCTCAAAGTGATCAGCATGATATTACAAGATACTCGTATGTGAGAGATTAGGAGGATATTTTATTATTCTTAAGACCTCTCTCGTAGATTGGCGTATCCACTTCTGCAATGCAAAAGGATACATAAGAAGGCCAGATGACAAAAAGAAGAAAGTGGGTTAAGGCAGGAATTGGTCAACAAAAGGAAGAAGTATTTGATCGGAAAGAAAAAGAAAGAAAATATATATTCGTCAAAAGGGAGTCGGTGAGGCGATGAATATAAAAGAGGTTGTGCACATGGGGTTTTCTCCAGAGACTTCTACAAGTTCGCAACGGAGAAAAAGGTTTACGTTCACAAGAAAGAGAAATCCGCAACACACAATACAAAAAACGCCGAAGGAGAACGACCGTGAAGGGGCAAAAGAGTTTACAATATACCGACTCTTTGTTTTTTCTTCCTTTGGAGGTGTTCTCGGCGGCTTCCTGCAGAATCCACCACGCAAGGTTTACTTTTGTCGCAACCGTGTTTGGATTACCCACAGTGACGCCAAACTCCTCACCTGCAAGTTGTTGCCATTCCGACGATCGCTGCTGAGTTCCCAATAGCCTGGCGATACCAGTCCCGCAATTCCAGAATCGACGAGGCCTCGCCTAGCTTCACTCTTCATGCACCTGCTTCGGCCAGCCGTCTCGGAGCTGACCCTGTGCACCCCTCACGTCCCTGCAGTGTTTGTGACGCTGTATCCCACCTTGCACAGCCACGATTGACACCTCACCGAGTCCCCCCAAACAAATTCTTTGAGCTTTTGGTGATTTCTTTGCGGATTCTCCGACGAATTCCAGTGATCTCCGTTGTGCTTGCCTATTTCCCAAACCTTCGGCAGCCCCTCTCACCGCGGTCTTGCTCTTTCGCCGCCTCCTGCCCTCTTTGCCGGTTACCGCCTCCATGAATCTTTCTTGTGATCCCTAGCTGTCGGTTGTCGTTTCGTCGATAATCCAATTCAGGTAATTTCCTAAGTTATATTTGATTCAAATATTCAATTGCTTCAGTTGTGGTTATTCGATTTTAACACGATTTGATTTGAGATTTTAAGCTTTTCCCAAATAGGAAATTTCCTCGTTTGAATTGTTAAAATAGGGGTATGGATCTTTAAGACCTAAGATCGGATCCTCGATTACCTTTGTTTCGTATTTTGGATGTTATGCATATTTAATAATGTGGGCTTACATATTACATGTCATTAGTTTAGGAAACATTCCTATTATGAAAATACAAAAAAAAAAGTTGCATTGCATTTAGTATAAATTGCATTCATGCATTCCTAATTTATGAATTGCATATCTTAGATACATTAGGAGTCATATGGTAATTTGCATGTAGGATTAATTAAGAATATTATCTCTGCATCATAATTTGATAATGGCATGTCTTTAATAGATATTAATGACTCTTGAATGATATTGCATAACTTCCATGAGCATCGATGCATAGTAATAATTCTTGAAGTTATTCGCCGATACTACACTTTCATCAGATAGTCTATGCTTTCATCGGAATTCGTGCTTTTATAAGATATTCATGCATGTGGCGTATTTTAAGGTCATATCTAGATTACATTTAAATAATTCAATCTCATTTCATTAGTCTAATAGTTCGTGCACGTTAAATTATAATTCACATTGACATAACTTCGACTAAAATTGCATTCATTAAAAAGAAAAATCCAAAATGAATTAGTTAGAATTGCGTAATCACATTAGAAACATGTTTAAGTAATGCATCATCGTTTGGTATTTTAGTTAACATCTTGCAGAATGCTTGGTGCATTGGATCATAATGAAGTCATGCTTTGCTTAATGCATACGTGTTTTTATCCTATTTCTAGCAATTTATTTATCACTTTGATTTATTGAGTGTTAAATTTTTGCTTGCGCAATCGCATAATCACTCATTACATGGTAGTGGTTTTGGCTTAAAATTGACCAAGATTGCTTGCAAAAAACTGTTCTTGAAAATAAAGAGATAAATTATCGAAAGGGCGTTAGATTTATTTAAAGTAACCAAGTTGTCGTATTCATGACATATGTAGCTCGCTGAAGTAAAGTGTTCCCCATACTTTACTTGGGTACTTAATCGACTCGTAATAGATTAGTGGTAACTATTAATTGAATTAAATTGCATGTTTAGTGGATTAAATTAAAAATCCCGAAGTTGTGATTGATATGGGCTTAAGAGAGTCCGCGCTAAGTGTAAGCTTAGTAATCCATTAGCTTTCCTTTTGGTGGTTCACTCAGGGAAGGTCGCGACAAATATCACTAGTAAACAGATTCATACAATCGACCGGCATACATATGTAGATACTCGACAGTTCCATATATAATATTGGTATGTTACTGATAAATATACATTGGTATCCGTGAAATCGAAACATGCTTACAATCTGCCAAGAACTTATGGTGGTAATATAGTTAACTTTTTCGAAATTAACCTTAACCTACATTATTAGTAAAATATTTAAGCAACTCGCAACCTAATGGCTGAAAAACACACCCACTTGTTAAAGCAAACAACTATTTTTAATGTGCAAGAATAATTCGGCCAAGTAAATCAGTTGTTTCATTAGTACGTTGCTGACAAATAAACATTGCTATTCATAAAATCGAAACTATGTATAGTGGTCAAATAGTTATTGGTTCGTAAGTTATAACTGTTAACAAAGGCTACTAACAAAGCATGTAAGCAACTCGTAATCTTCTAGCAAAAGTACTCGCCCATTTATAAAAGCAAACGATTGTTTGTAAGCTACAACAGTATTTTCAAACTGGTGAATTGATTAGTTCGTTTGGTATGGTACTTTCAAATAAACATCGCTATTCGTAAATTCAAAACAATGTTAACAACATACTTGGATTTGTAGTGGTAAAATAGTTGTATTGTTTGTAAGTTAGTACTGTTCATCGAGACTATTAATAAAGTATGTAAGCATTCGTAATCTACTAGCGAAAAAAAAAAACCCACTTGTAAAATCTGAAGGAAACTATTTGGTTTGAAGATGAAAAAATTGTTATTTTATTGATAACTTACTAACAGTTGACCAAACAAATAGGGTGTCGGATAATTTTTACTTACCGGTGATACTTCAAGTTTATTATTGGTTCTTTAAATTTACCATGCACGGAACAAAACTACATTTTTGGCAAAAGGAATTTTAGAAACGTGCAAGATTTTAAACTACAACTATCCCGTCAAACGAATAGCTCCGGTTAATTCTTTGATCCAATCTAAATAGAGTGGAGGTCAGATCTGCAGAAGTGATATAAAGAAGAAACAATTTATGTTGTCGAGATCTGAGAAGAGTCAAACTTCTCTTTTCAAAAAGAATGCTCTGTACTGTGCTATGTGAAATGAGAACACATACACGTCTCCCCTTGAGATTTTAAACTCCAAGGGAATAATTTATGTTCAAAGAGTCGAACTTTTCATTTTAAATGAAAAGTTTGTACTGTGCTATGTTCACGTTCTCAACTTGATATTTAAAACTCCTAAGGTGTTCAAACTCCCCTCGAGATTTAATGCTCTTATGTTCACGCGCATTGTCAGCTTTGACAGGCTGGAGTGATGCGGCAATGAATCATTCTTATTAAACAATTAAAGCAAACTGGCCCACGACTCTCTGCACATTTACCTAATCCTGTCTACTAAGTCTAATGACCTACAGAGATCTCCATTTGTAATTCTGGCTTCTAAACTTTTTCATTTCTGGCTGCCACTGCTTTCGTTGCTATCCCGTTCAGTTTTTCCTTGTAGAGAAGATCAAGTGAGATCAATGGAGAGGAGTGCAAAAAAACAATGCATCCGTCAAAACGATGGAATAGCACGAGGTGCTTCTGGTGTTCACACTTCAACAGAAAGTCACGGAATGGCTAATTCATCAGGATTTGACTATGAAGTATTCTTGAGCTTTAGAGGACCAGATACTCGAGCAACTTTTACCGACCACCTTTACACCAGTCTTAAAAACACAGGAATCCGTACATTTAAGGACGACGAAGATCTCCGCGAAGGGGAAGAGTTTGCCCCAAAACTTCTCCAAGCAATTAAGCAGTCGAAGATCTTAGTACCTATCTTTTCGAAAGATTATGCCACTAGTGTATGGTGTCTCAAGGAGGTAGTCCAAATGGTCGAGTGCAAGAAAACTGGGGAACAAAAGATCATCCCTATTTTTTATGATGTGGCGCCTGCAGAGGTTCGGTACCAAACTGGGGATTATAAAAATTCCTTTCTTTTACATGAAAGCAAGAAGCGATATGACCAAGAGACTATCGGAGAGTGGAAGGATGCTCTCAGTGCAGTTGGGGAAATAAACGGATACGACCTGCAAAGCATGCCCATCAGGTGACTGCTTTGAGCTTTTCATCTCATGTGCCTTGTAACGTTAATTCGATGCATTTCAATTGGTTTCTTTTCTAGATTTGTGTTAGTCTTGTTGAAATTGAATTGTATGCAATTGAAGTTAAACCGCAAAGTCACACTAAATAATGGTACAATACCAATTTTGTCCCATTTCATTCCCAGCAACATTTTTTGTCAGTTCAGGTCATTCATTAACCCTAAGTTCCACCGCTACTTCATCTAAATAGAGTAAATCGTTGAATAACACATTTAGAATAGGTCTGTAGTTTCTGATTTGATCTTTTCAGGGCATAGTTTGGTTCAACTCACTTTTCTAACTCACTGCCTTTTGATTTCCAACAAACACTAGGCAAGAAGGTAAGTTCGTGAAAACATTCACGCAAAAGGTTTTCCATGAGTTGAAAAAAGCTTCTCTGGTAGTATCAGACTACTTGGTCGATGTCGACCACCATGTGGATAAAATCATGGATTTGATAGGAGCTTGGACAAGTGAAACACGGATTATAGGAATCCATGGGATGGGTGGCATCGGAAAGACAACTATTGCCAAAATCATCTACAATCGGCTTTCAAAAAAGTTCAACAATCGTTGCTTTCTTTCCAATATCAGTGAAATGTCAAAAACCAAGGGCATTGAATGCTTGCAGAATCAGCTCATCTCTGACATCCTCAAAACGGAGTGTAAAAACATAAGAAACTGTGATGAAGGGACTCAGACAATAAAAAATAGGTTGTCTCATAAAAAAATCCTCTTCCTTCTTGATGATGTGGAAGAGAAGGGTCATATGGATGCACTTGTAGGTAAGCGTGATTGGTTTGGTGAAGGGAGCAAACTAATTATTACTACTAGAAAGAAAGATGTTCTCCATGTTCCGGAAGTGGACTGGAGGTATGAGCTTACGAGCATGGATCGTGATCAATCTCTTAAACTTTTTAGCAAACATGCCTTCAGAAGAGATTCTCCTTTAGAAGAGTATATCAACCAATCCAACAGGGCGATAGACATTGCTGGAGGTCTTCCCCTAGCTCTTGAGGTCATAGGTTCACTTTTATCCAGCACAAATAAGGAAATGTGGGATGCTGAATTGAAGATGCTTGAAAGTGTTCCTCAAGATAAAGTCGGTAGTAAGCTGAAAATAAGTTATAATGCACTAAATTATCGGCAAAAGCATATATTCCTCGATATAGCTTGTCTTTTCATTGGATATGACAAAGACATTATGGTTCATTTTTGGGATGCATTTGAACTTTTTTCGGAAGTAGCCTTGGAAGGTTTGCAGAACATGTCTTTGATAAAGATTGAAAAGGACAATAAAGTATGGATGCATGACCAACTCAGAAACCTCGGAAGAGATATTGTTCGTGAAGAAAGTATGATGAAAATAGAGAAGACAAGTAGGGTGTGGAATCCTAAGGAAGCATTGAATTTGCTGAGGACACATAAGGTAAAATCGCTCCTGCATTAAATTTCTAGTTCATTATGGATATTTTCTTTCAAAAAAAAAAAACCAGTTACTTTTTGTGTTCTATAGCAACATTGTGACCTACTCGACCAATAATATTTGTGTTTTAAGATTAAAGGAATGATAGTACTCAACTCAACCCCTTAAGATAATGAACCTGAATAAATGTGCTTCCCTTCAACTTTTTTGTTTTTCAATGTTTCCTTTGGGCAGGGAGAAAAAGAAGTTGAAGCTCTTCGTCTCGAGTTTGACAATCAGCACCATTTTATCTATAAGGACTTTAAGAGCCTATCAAACCTAAAGTTCCTTGAAGTTGACGGTATGAAGGAAAATTTTCGTGCAGAAAAGACGCTTCTTTGGCACACATGGCTATCAAATCTTCTTCCAACTAATGTTTCCCAGAAGAATTCAAGTCTCCTTCCCCAATTACGGGGGCTTTCTTGGCATGATATTCCCCCAAAATTTAAGATTACAAATTTCTTCATGGAACATGTGGTTATTCTTGATCTGTCTCAGAGTAAAATTACGCATGATTGGAAGGGGTGGAACCATATGAAGGTATCTTATATGCTAGACAACACTTATTCTTCCATCTTATTAGATTCGAAAGTAATCTTTGCATGATTTTTCTTTTATAGGTGATGAAGAGTTTGAAAGTTCTGGATCTGTCCAATTGCGATTGCTTGAAGAGAACTCCTATGTTCTTTGCTCATTCAAATTTGGAGCGTTTGAGTCTACGTGGCTGTGAATCATTAACTGAAATTGATAGGTCAATTTGTCATTTGAAAAGCTTAGTTTCCTTAGATGCAAGCAAATGTGAGAATCTTTGGAGGCTGCCAGACGAGTTGGGTAGAGATCTTGCAAGCCTTAAATACCTATCTCTGAAATGGTGCAAATCGTTGGAGAGGCTTCCGAATTCAATTGGAAAACTGAAATCGCTGATTGAGTTGGATATAACTTGCACAGCAATCAAAGAACTACCTGATTCCATCGGAGATTTGAAAAAGTTGAAAGTTGTGAAGATGTGGCATAGTAGCATAAGCAAAATACCCGATCCCTTATGGACGATTGAGAAGCTCGAAGAAATAGAAGCCTTCAAATTATATGGTAATTTCCATATGGAAATTGGCAAGTGCATCTACAATAATAAATCCTTGAGGATCTTGAGAGTGAAGCGGGCCAATGTATACACACTACCGAGGCTTCCTGAAAGTCTTATCAAACTACAACTGTCTATGTTGTACATGGACATGTTTCCAGATCTGTCAAACCTCATTAATTTAAAAAAATTGAATCTGGAATTTGGCCGACCTGATGATGATGGGCTTGTGGAAGATTCGATGCCATGGTGGATTGGGAATTTAAGCAAACTAGAGTCGTTGAAACTAGACTCTCATTATGTGACCACCGTAACCGAAAACCTTAGCCTCCTTCCTCAACTCAAGGCACTTCGCCTCCGGTGCCCTAATGTGTGTTGCCTCCCGAGGCTTCCCTCAAGTTTATCATCCTTATGTTTGGACTATTGCAAGTCACTTTGCTCAATGGATCTATCGAATTTGAAGAAATTATCATCTCTTGAGATTTCGGACGCTCAAATTGCAGAGATTCAAGGCCTTGTTTGTTTGGAGAACCTACAAGATTTGGGGCTTCATAGCCTTAAACAGGTGGAGATACTACCTGATCTAAGCAATTTAAACAAACTAAGACGTCTTGAAGTGGAAGATTGTGATAATCTGGTTGAGATTCAAGGCGAACTACCACGGTTTTTGGATCTATTGTCTATTTCTTCATGTCAGTCTTTACAGAAGTTGCCCGATCTGTCAAGCTTGATGGGATGGCAAAATTGTGGCGAATCAAATGTGGAGGAAATTCTTGTATTTTCTCGAAAGAATCGACGACATTTGGAGCTTGCAGGCTTTAAACAGCTGCAAATCCTACCTGATCTAAGTAAGTCAAACGAACTAACAATTCTTCAAGTGAGAAGTTGTCCTAATCTGGTTGAGATTCAAGGTGCACTGCCACAATCTTTGGAAATATTGGAGATTTCTTCTTGTGAATCTTTACAGAAGTTGCCTGATCTGTCCAGCTTGAAAGAATTGCGACACATCGACATAGAAGGTTGCAAAAAATTAAATGTGGAGGCAATTCTTGGCTCCGCTCGGAGAAGTCAGGTGAATTTGTGGGAGAACCTACGATATTTGCGAATTTGTGGCCTTGGACAGATGGATTTACTGCCTGATCTAAGTAATTTAAACAAACTAAGACGTCTTCAAATAGAAAACTGTGGTAATCTGGTTGAGATTCAAGGCAAACTCCCACAATCTTTGGAAGAGTTGAATATTTATTCTTGTGAATCTTTACAAAAGTGGCCTGATCTGTCAAGCGTGAAGTTGAAGAGACTGCAAATGGGTAGAGAATATTGTCTAGAGAGATTTGTGCTGCGGGCAATTTGTTGACTTTGCTCGAAGAATTCAGTCGAATTTGTGGGATAAGACAACAAATCTGAATATGAGGGAGAAGACGATGAATAAGTGCACCTTGCACTTGAAAGCTTCTTGATCCACGACCACAAATTATTCCCTTGTGTTCAAACTTTAAATGAATTGAGGTAAGTTATTTCATCTTACAGCCAATGTTTTCCTTTTTTTGCAATCAAATTCTTTCATAGACATGAACAGAGATTGTACGTGCACTTTTTAATGAGTTCATGTCAGAAAATCTGGTGAAGGTATTGAAATTATGATGCCTTCGAACAGCCAGAGGGTTTTTAATTATGTACAAATATTTGTATTGTTTTCCTAGTTTGGTTTGGCCTTTTAGCTATATTTCCTTTGGACGGTTTCTTCTTGCTTTTTTGTTTCCCGGCTGGAGATATGCATGTCTACAGAGAGAGAGAAAAAAGGACAATAATTTGTTTGTTTGTTGGTGCAGAGAGAGACAGAGGGAAGGCGGAGGAGAGAGCTTGACCTGTTTGAAGGAAAGGTGAGCTGTCGTCTTCTTCTTTAATACCTATAACGCAATATGAAGCTCCTGACTCGATGGACGCTCTCTGTGCGTGGCATATGCGCCGTGCCCACAAGCGAATATTACCATTTTAATGTTCCATGTTTCTCTTAGCTGACGAGAGGCAGAACATTGCGGGTGGTTCCAACGATGTGTGGAGACCGGCGGGACAGAAGCTGGGTGCAAGAGCAGTGGTAAGCCACGGCGGGTGAAGCAGCGGCGAAAGAGAAGGCGTGGCTGTGGCAGACGTGGAGAAGGTAGCGACGCAGACAAAAGCTCTCCTTGCTCACGTGAAATACTTCCTCTTTGCCTCTCTATCTTCTGCGTATTTCCTTTTTCTAGCTTTCTTTTGGCGTTTTCTGTCAGTCCATCCTCTCAAAGGGAAGAAGAAGAAGAAAAAAGAAAGAAAGAGGAAACCCGAACCAAAAACTGATCATATTCCGTTCGGGTCAAAACATGCACGCATCCCATACATATGACTATGGTTCTCATCATGGAACTTTACACCATAATCAACTCATTGTTGCAACTGTGAAGTAGACAGACCCTCTGTATTGACATGCTCAAGTTCAATTTACTTTCCAGGAAAGGTGTGCTTGTTAGTGGGATTTGCAAATGTTGAGGAGAAGTTATAAAATGAAGAAAAGACGAATTTCACTTGGGTAATGGCGTCAATAATTGGCGCAGCACAACTTCCATCCGTGACAAGAGAGAACTATTTAGCTTCTCGAAGGTATCATTAATCATCTTGTAGTTAAGTTTAACTTTTAGTACTATCGGTGCATAGGACATATGATGAGTCATGCTTGGGGTCAGAAATCATGTAGGAGGACTCTTGTGTGATCTCGATTATTGCCTACGTTTTCTAGAAATGGTTATGCCTATGTGAGAATATGTAATATAAGCCCTTCCATTGTCCTCAAGATATACTAGAGGACTCTTTTAGGTTTTAAGATTGATAAGAAGTGCTAAGGGAGACATCTCAAGCGACTGCCTTTTTGCCGGTTTCTAATATTGCTGAGAGGAATTAAAGTTCGAGAAATTTATAGAATTTTTTTTGTGCAGGGAGCTGTGGCTGATTGGGCTGTTGTACAATTAAAGACCGAATAAAGGAAAATGAAGATGACATTTAGTGTCGACTAAATTCCCTTTCACAATCTTGGGGTGGTAAACTGAGCTTTCGTCTGTTGAGAGACAGAAACCTGAAGATTAGTAAGGGAAGTCGTTGCCTACTGATGAAATCATTAAATCTATTGAACTTGATGTGAAGTTTCAGTTGAATGGTTCACCCTTTTTTTCAGAGAAATCGTTAGAGCAGAGCAAAGGAATTCATCGTGCAATTTGGGCCACCATACGTAATGTTTTTGGGGGTAAAAGGGCTATTCATGCATACCTGATTGTATTTCTTTTTTCTTTTTCTGTGGGGCCACTAAAATGAATACTGCACTTCATTGACATGCAATAGAACTTGCCTTCATACCCAAATATTCTTTTATGAGGAAACACTTGAAGGGCTTGTCTTGAGGGAAGAAAAATTGTGTGCGCTTAGGGGTGTTCAAGGTAGTCTTAGGGTGCGTTTCTTACGCAAAAAATGTACAATTTCTGGAATATACTTTTCAAGAAGTCATTTTCCAGGAAAGTGAGTTCATTTTTCGGTGTTTGGCTAAAACATAAAAAAGACTTATAAAGTATTTTCAGTTGTTTGGTAAGGAAATTTGATGGTGAAAATTATCAAAAAATTTTGTATATTTTAAATTATTTTAAATTATTTGTTATTTTTAAATTATTTTAATTAAGAAAAGAAAATACATGAATATTTTCCTTCTTAGAAAGAAAATAAAATAAAATAAAAGAAAAATAAAAAAATAAAAAATATTAACAAATTCAAGATGAGCAATTCCGGAAAGTGTTTTCACCTTCTTAGATAAGAGAATTCACTTGCCTAATTTTATACATGAATGTTTTCCTTAACCGAAAAGTGTTTTAAGTTGATTTACCATTTTCGGCAAACTAAACGGGTGAAAATCCGGAAAACAGATTCTTGGAGACACTTTCCCTCAAACAAACGCACCCTTGTTTGGTTTGGAAAATGTTAGGGTGTGTTTGTTTCACGGAAAATGTAACGTTTTTGGAAAATGTTTTCTGGAAAATCATTTTCCAGGAAAATAATTAGTTTTCCTTTGTTTGGTGATATGTGATCGAAAACATTTTCTGATGTTTGGATCTCATTTGGAAAATGATTTCAATCCCATGATTTTATCTTCGGCAAAATTTTTTTTTCGAATTTTTAAATATTTTTATTTTTAAAAATAAAAAGAAAAAGAAAAAAAGAAAGAAAAGAAAGAAAAGAATAAAATAATAAAAAAGTAAAGGGAAGTAATTCCGAACAGTGTTTTCACCTTCTTAGATTAGAGAATTCACTTTCTTAATTTTATACATGAATGTTTTCCATGACCGAAAGTGTTTTCGGTTGACTAATCATTTTTGGTGAACCAAATGGGTGAAAGTCCGGAAAACGGATTCCTGGAAAACACCTTCCCTGAAGCAAACGCACCCTTAGTTGCACTTGCCAAAACCAGTTCATGGACCTACAATAAGCATTTCTTGAATTCATTAAATGGGCAGTGTTGTAAAGTATGACAGGCTCTCACAACACATGAAACACAAATTGTTGGAATTCACGGAATGGGCAATGTTGTAAAGTCGACTCTTGCCAAAACTATCCACAATCAGCTTTTGCAAGGTTTTGAGCACTGTTACTTTCTTTCTAATGTTTGTGATACTTCAGAGCTCAAGCGCATTCAGTACTTGTTGAATCAACTCATCTCCTTTGTCCTCAAAAGAAATTTGACAGACATAAGTAATATTGATGAAGGGATCAAGACAATTAAGGATAGGCTATCTAGTAAAAGAGTTCCCCTCCTTTTTTGTGATGTTGACCAGAAGAATCAATGGAATGGGCTCATGGGTAACATCTAAGATATTTAGGCATTACTGTTCTTCAATACCCCTGTCGATTGGAGCTCTTACAAGCCTTGAATTCTTGTCTGTGAAGAATGTAGATATATAGAGAGGCTCTGGGCTCAATTGGCAATTTGCAATCGCTACTTGAGTTGGATTTCTCCTACACGTGCATTAAAGAGCTACCTGACTCAATGAGAAACATTTTTTTTTGGTTGAAAGCGAAACATTCTCATTAAGTAGTAGAACTTGAAGAACAACATAGTTGGGCAATGAGAAACTTGAAAAGTTTGAAAGTAGTGAGAACGTATAATTGTTCCATTGGTTACATACCTACTACCTTATGGATGCTGTAGAAGCTTGAAGAAATAGATGCAACACACGGTGAGAGCTTGCAACTGGAAATTCCAAATGACATTTGGAGATATTTGTCTTTGAAGGTCTTCGAATTGACGTTGATTAATAAGTGCCAAGTACTGAGGCTTCCAAAAAGTCTCGTCAATTTATGTAACATCCTCAATTTCAGTCCCTGGGAAATGGCTATGGTTTAAGTTTGGTAGTTATTCAAGTGGAACCAATTTTTACTCTTGTTCTGGAAAACCCTGTTTCGGATCCTTTGTACCCCTTCATTTTGTTATTTTTGTGGAGACTTTTGTGATCCGAATTTCCACACACTTCCTTCTTGAAAGTTTCTCCAAACATCTTGAAGTTTTACATACTTTAATTTCATAATTTTTGGACTTGATATGAGTAGTACGACAGCCTCATTTTCGGACCGTGTAAAACTGCCCAGAATGGGTATTTTGACGATGTTCACACTTTCTTTATTTTCTACAAGATTTTCTGGGCCGATATTGGAAAAGTTTCCTTCACAAAAGTTGATGAGAAATTATTTTTCTATAACATATATAAATTTGGTAATTTTTCGAGATGATTTGAATTCTGGAAAGAGCTTACTTTGAGAAACAAGAATTCTGTTCTAGCGAACTGCTTTTAGTCTGTCTTTGAGCTACTAAAAGTTGTGTTTACAGAAAGATTCAGATTTCGTATTCTTTATGAAAAATGTTTGTTAAGGCCTTGTTTATGACATATTCAAATGTGAGAATTTTTGGAGTCCATTTACTATGTTTTCAAGTCCGATTTCGTGAACAGTGCAAAACTATCCGGTTTTGTCAGATTTCAAAAATTCATCATTTTCTATATAAGAACGTTGAAATCTCAACTTGATGTCTTTTGGTGATATTTGAGGACATTCCCGCGCTGAATCTCGGGTTGAACGAGATTATTATACGTATTTTGTCGCAGAAAACCCTCGGAAAATCTTGAGAACTAAGCATGATGCGGGTTGTGATTTTAGTGCCAATGAGTCTATTTCGTGTGACCTGATTGGCCCGACTCAATCACGCAAGAAACCAGCAAATCCAAAAGGCTCTAGGGAGTCCATGGTCTCCACGGTCTGGAAAAGTTTAGAAGAGGCTAGAAGATAAGGCTTTGACATGGTCAAAGCTTCTCCTTCAAGCTTCCTTTATTAAGGTTCATCATGACTAGTATTAATTGGCTTAGACTTGGAAGCCCCCTTCATGATGACAAGCCTTAATTAGTTGGACTTTGGAGGCCCTATCATGATGGCATTCATTAAATGATCTTAGACTTTTAGGGACTTGTCATGATGGCCATATATCTTCTTAAGCAAGCTTTGATTAGCAACTTGGTGAGCAAGTTTGGGTTGTCTATAAATAGACTTGGTCCCCCTTCTTCTCACGCAAAACACCACCGCCATCTCCTTCTCTCCTTCGCTTTCTCGCTTTCTTGTTTTGTTGTTTCTCGGCCAAGAAACCTCACGCCCAAAGAAGCCACCGACTCTCCCGCTTTTCTTGTCTCTTGGCCAAACAAGGAGTCCTACGCCTACATACACACACAACCGGGCCTTGCTTCTCCTTGTTCAAGCCTAAGAAGCCACGGTTCGGCCTTGGTGTGCCTTGTAGAGTTCGGCCAAGCAAGGAGAGAAGCCCAAAAATTTCACGAGACACCCGAGTCCACCCGTCTCTAACTCGTTCTCTAGTTCTTATATTAGTTGTTGTGTAAGTAAACTTCCTAATATCGGGAAAGGAAGTTGTGATGCGTTGTGACACGGTTTGCTTGGACCGTTTCTCGATCGTTTGGTTGGTCGTAGTTGATTCAATCCCTTGATTTGACCATGTTTCATGTTTGATGTTTGTCTTGAAATAGAACCGAGATTTGGCTAGTAAAGTGCACATGTTATAGCCTTGCGTGGTGTTCTCTTGTATGAACTTTGCTATTGATCTGCCATTGATGTGGGTGCGGTAAGAGCCGACTTATGTTAACGGCGATCCCCTCGTCCTCGCTTGATATTAGTAGGTTTACTTGCTGAGTCTCTCCAACTCATCCCCCGTTGTTTCCTTTTCAGGTCCGAAGAATGGCGTCTCCCCCGACTCGGTTTGGCAACTCTGTGGAAATGAGAGCCGAAGTGCTCACCGTGATAGATGCCCGAGAAGGCCGAGCCTTCCGCTAGATCACGACGTATGTGATGGTCGATGAGGGCCTAACGGACTTGGTGCCTCACCCGTACGTAGCATGGCATGGCTACACTGACGGAGAATGGGTTGGACCCCTACGTGGGTTCAATGAATCTTTTGGCGGTGTAGGCAGGCCGGCTCTGGGGCATGCCACGGGTGGGGTGTAGATCGGCCATGCGGACGGGAAGCGGGGAGGAGATGTGGATGGAGTTAGAAGCGAGAAGATGAAGTAGAGGGGATAGGATCACCCAAGCCGAGTTTTTCTATTCATAGTCGGCTAGGAACGGATGAGCCTCTAGAATATGCGTGTGAAATATGTGTTGTTTGCCTTGGCCCGAAGGGCTTGTTAACATATGTTTGCATGCCCTGTAAATATAAGGTTTGCTCATGATGCTACTTGTTTAAATTTCGCTGTTGTTCTGAATGTGATTGTCCCGAGTTTACATTTCCGCTTGTGCTTATGAAAAAGATAACAATGAACGGGACGTCATGTTAATGACCCCGAGGCGGGGGCATTACAGTCTAATTTGGTATCAGAGCAGGTTCCCCTCCAGTAAGTGCAAGTTCGGTGTTGAGCCAAGAAGAGGCTGTGGAATCCTGAAAGAACCCGATCCGATGAGGGCAAGGAGTGGTCGCCGAGGTAGGACCTGATCAAGGAGCGGCTCTTGGCTATGAAGTGGACGCAGGGGCATAAGGCCTGATCAAGGTGTAGCTTCTAGCAAGAGTGGTCACCGTGGTTGAAGACCTGAATAAGGTGCGGCTCCTGGCAGGCTTCTAGGATGATGGGTAAGAGAGGAACAAACCGAACTATGCACTGAATGGGGGAGAACGATTCTGAAATCCAAGCGGAAATAAAGATATGGAGTGATAAGGTGCGCTGAAGTTGGGGTAGTTAGCTAGGAAACACCCATGCGCATGTGAATGATTGATTGTGGTTGAATAGGTTGTGTGCTAATATTTGTTTGTGACCACTGACCTATTCTTGTGTTGTAGAAAGATCCCTTAGAATACCAATATGAGTGCTCGGGACCCGGCTGCGACCTCGACCTCGAAAGAGAAGTCCAAGCAGGTTCTCTCTAGTAAGTGGTAGTTCGGTATTGAGCCAAAAAAGGCTGTTGAATCCTGAAATAACACGGTCCGATGAGGGCGGGGAGTGGTCACCGGGGTTGAAGACCTGAACAAGGTACTGAACGAGGGAGAACGGTTCTGAAAGTAAGACGGGAACTGTTACTTGGAATGATAAGTGTGATTTTCATATTGATAGAATTGTTATAAGGGCATAACAGATCTAGTTATGTTGGCCTTGTAAGATATTGACATCAACATAAAAGTAAATTAGGTTGAGTAAGATTTTATCAGAGTAGAGCAGCTAAAGTGTGGTCAAGCTTGCAACACCTCCAGTATGTTGGATCGAGGTCGGGGAAAGAAAGGTCGCTGGTCCAGAGCTAGTCCAATTTACAACGGATGCCACACAGGTAATTACGAAAGCTAAGTCCCAAGTATGTAGGACCTTTTGAAATTCTAGAAAGAATAGGGAATTTGGCCTATTGGTTGGCGCTACCATCGAAACTTGCTCAGATACATGTTGTGTTCCATGTATTGATGTTGAGAAAGTATGAGCCGATCCGGCACGTGTGCTAAATTTTGACGAGGTCAAATTGGACAGCAGAATATCCTATGTTGAAAGCCGGTGCAGATCATGGATCGTAAGGAGCAAGTATTGAGAAGTAAGGCCATTCCCTTAGTAAAGGTCTTGTGGTGTTGCCATGAAATAGAAGAAGCTACCTAGGAAAGTGGAGAATTAATGAAGCGTTAATATCCTCACTTGTTTGAGGAACTAGGTACGTTTTAAATTTCGGGGACGAAATTCTTTTAGAGGGGGAGAATTGTAACATCCTCAATTTCAGTCCCTGGGAAATGGCTATGGTTTAAGTTTGGTAGTTTTTCAAGTGGAACCAATTTTTACTCTTGTTCTGGAAAACCCTGTTTCGGATCCTTTGTACCCCTTCATTTTGTTATTTTTGTGGAGACTTTTGTGATCCGAATTTCCACACACTTCCTTCTTGAAAGTTTCTCCAAACATCTTGAAGTTTTACATACTTTAATTTCAGAATTTTTGGACTTGATATGAGTAGTACGAAAGCCTCATTTCCGGACCGTGTAAAACTGCCCAGAATGGGCATTTTGACGATGTTCACACTTTCTTTATTTTCTACAAGCTTTTCTGGGCCGATTTTGGAAAAGTTTCCTTCACAAAAGTTGATGAGAAATTATTTTTCTATAACATATATAAATTTGGTAATTTTTTGAGATGATTTGGATTCTGGAAAGAGCTTACTTTGAGAAACAAGAATTCTGTTCTAGCGAACTGCTTTTAGTCTATCTTTGAGCTACTAAAAGTTGTGTTTATAGAAAGATTCAGATTTTGTCTCCACGGTCTAGAAAAGTTTAGAAGAGGCTAGAAGATAAGGCTTTGACATG